AGAGCACAAGTAGGCAGAGAGGCAGGCAGAGAGAGGAGGAAGCAGGTTCCCCACTGAGCAGGGAGCCTGATGCGGGGCTCGATCCCAGAACCCTGAGATCATGACCTGAGCCGAAGGCAGAGGCTTAACCCACTGAGGCCCCCAGGCACCCCTAAAAATATAATTTCTTAAAGAATATTTTATTTATTTATTTGTCAGAGAGAGAGAGAGAGAGAGAGCAAGCGAGCGAGCTCAAGCAGGGGGAGAAGCAGGCTCCCTGCTGAGCAGGGAACCCACCGCGGAACTCCACCCCAGGACCCTGGGATCATGGCCCGGGGTGTTCGAGAGCTGGTCTCCAGCACAACGCTGGCTGGTTATCACTTAGCAAAGCCCTAAAGTCCATCTGTTTCTTTAGAGAGTCTAAATTTTATACTTTGCTTGCGCTGGGTCTCCAGAGAGCCTTGTGTTTGGACCCAATAATTCCTTTAGGCTGAACCATATGAGAAGCCCCTTTCCATGTGACGAGAGGCCCCTCCCCTGTGAAGCAGGGGCTCCATCCCACAAAAGAAGCGGAAAACATCGCACGCGCTCCGCCTTGGCGGCTCAGGTGGAGCCACATGACCCAGGCTCCGCCAATGAGAGGGACACTCTGCGGTGACGTGATGGGCAGACCACGTGGGGTCCATCTGGCAGGTGGACTCAGCCGCGTTCAGGGGCCAGATCTGGCAAGTGTTCGCAATGAGCCCAGTCATCTCTGCGGCCCCCGGAGCACCTCCCACCATTGTCTGCCCTGACCTTCCTTCCTGGAAGTTATCCCTCCCCGCTTTGTCTGTAGGCCCACTACATGTTTGTATCCTGAAATGATACCTTGTCTTGTTTTGCAGGGTGTGGACCTTCATCCAGACGGACTCATACCGCAGTTCCGTCCTGTGGACGCTCGACGCTGTTACGGAGATTTGCCCGTGTTGTCGCTTGTGGCCACAGTGCGTTGATTTCCCCCCCAAGGTCTTATCCCACTGCACGAGCACATCCCGGTGTGTTTACCTATTCCACTGCGGAGGGATAGCTGGGATGTGGCTAGACCTTTGCTGGTTGGTGTCTCTTGCTATATGGGGCTGAGGGAAAAAGAAAATCCTCACCTCTGCCAGAGGCTGGGGGAAATACAGGGTTCATCTGAATATTGCTGGGCTTGGTTTGGTGTAGGGCATAAAGAGGTTAAAAACATTGTCTCTGTCACCTTATATCTCAAAACTTTGATGTCATTGTGCCCAAGAAAACCAAAGCAAAGCCTAGTGAAGTGAGTGGAATTATCTGGAATTGTAACGGTTTCAAAGACATGACGTGGCAGTGAAGCAGGGGACGGAGCAACAAGCACTGCCTTCGGTCACGGACATCTGAACTGTGAACTCGGAAGAACCAGCAAGGCCTACTCAGTTATTTACATCCACAAAATCTGAAGACATCCCAGAGTGTGAAGAAGTCTAGGAAATTTCTCAGGGCAAGCAGCCTACCGATCAAGGAATATTTGTTAGGTGTCTTCTTTGCGCAAGACATTCCGTTAGGTATTGTAGGAAGTACACAGAGGTTTACAAGATGGAGGAAAAGACGCCCTAGACCTTGAAGAGCTTATACATTGGCTATCAGTAGATACAGGGACATGTCTGCTAAGGGTCAAGTGAACGGCTGTAAGGTTTCTGCTTTACTCCTGGGTTACAAGCTCTGTGAAAGCAGGGACTGAAGCAGTTTTCTTTCTTTCTTTTTCTTTTCTCCCTCCCTTCCTTCCTCCCTTCCTTCGCTTTATTTTTTAACTTGAGAAAGAGCACAAGCAGGGGGAGAGTGGCAGAGGGAGAGGGAGAAGCAGACTCCCCACTGAGCAGAGAGCCCGATGTGGAACTTGATCCCAGAACCTCGAGATCATGACCTGAGCTGAAGGCAGACGCTTAACTGACTGAGCCACCTGGGCACCCCAGCAATCTTTCCATTATGTCTCCACGGTTTTGGATAAATGTGTGAATGAAGAATCTGGAATCATCAGGAAAGACTGTGGAGAAGAAACGTCTTTTTATTTATTTACTTAATTTAAATTCAATTAATTAACATATAGTGTTTTATTACTTTCTGGGGCAGAGGTCAGTGATTCATCGGTTGCATATAACTCCCAGTGCTCACTTCATCACATGCCGTCCTTAATGCCCATCCCTCAGTTACCCCGCCCCCCACCCACCTCCCCTCCAGCAACCCTCAGTTTGTTCCCTGGAGTAAAGATTCTCATGGTTTGTGTCCCTCTCGGATTTCATCTTATTTTTCCCTCCCTTCTCCTATGATCATCTGTTTTGTTTCTTAATTTCCACGAGTGAAATCATGTGATAATTGTCTTTCTCTAATTGACTTATTTTGCTCAGCCTAATACCCTCTAGCTCCATCTCTGTTGTTGCAAATGGCAAGATTTCATCATTTTTGATGGCCAAATGCTATTCCATTGTGTATATCACATCTTCTTTATTCATTCATCTGTCCATGGACATCTGGACTCTTCCTATAGTTTGGCTATTGTGGACACTGCTGCTATAAACATAGGGGTATACGTGCCCCTTTGGATCACTACGTTTGTATCCTTTGTATAAATACCTAGTAGTGCAATTGCTGGGTCATAGGGTAGCTCTATTTTTAACTTTTTGAGGAACCTCCATACTGTTTTGTAGAGTGGCTGCCCCAGCTTGCATTCCCATTACATTGTAGTGTAAGAGATTCCCTTTTCTGAGAAGGTCTTGGTGTGAATGCTGAAGGGAGTTAGCACTGACTCTGAACAGTAGGAAAGAGTTTATAGAATAGGTAAAGGGGCTGGGCCTTGGCCTTGGGGATTGGAGAGAGGAGGAAGCCAGGTTGTAGCCAAGAGCTCTTCAGGGAATGAAGTGGGACAGTGTCTGGAAGGATGGGGTCAGGCTCTAAAGTCAAGCTCTTGAATGCCAAGCTAAGGAGTTTAATTTTATTCTACACTTAGTGAGAACAACTGCATTGCAGTGCACTGAACAGGGGAGAAAAACTGTTACAGGAAGATTTATGTTTTAGAGGGATGCAGAAAAGACTGTCAGATGGGAGCCAGAGAGAACTGGGATCCCTCTCTCTACTTGGTTGGGGCTTGTTTGCACAGTAGCAGTTGGAGGATGCCCAGGGCTGGTAAGAAGGGACAAGCCCTGATGCACAAGCACTTTTCAAAGTAGCTTCATATATTCTACTTTCTTTTGGCCAAAGCAAGTCACCTGCTCTGGCCCAGATTCAAGGGGGTGGAAAATAAACACTTCTTGATGGAAGGAGGGGCAATGCCACAAGGCAGACAGGAGAATGTATAGGAAGGGGTGAGCTTCTGGCTACTTTTGAAGCCTCCCACCCTGGGCTAGGGGCTAAAGAAAACAGAAAGCACTAGATGCTTGGGGGTTGGGCTAGAAAGAGCAGAAATGCTTGGCATCTACTTCCCGGAACACATCTAAATACCATAATCTTAAAATCTGATCTGCTTACTCTAATTAACACAGAAATTATGCAGATCATTTCGGACAAGTGTTTAACCCAGCTCTCAAAACCCGGGTGTCTAGAAAAACAGACTCAGAGACTTTGTCTTTCGGTGGTTCTTTCAGTCTCTGAGACATTTTAGAAATAGAAGTGGGGGCGCCTGGGTGGCTCAGTGGGTTAAAGCCGCTGCCTTCGGCTCAGGTCATGATCCCAGGGTCCTGGGATGGAGCCCCACATCAGGCTCTTTGCTCAGCAGGGCGCCTGCTTCCCTTCCTCTCTCTCTCTGCCTGCCTCTCTGCCTACTTGTGATCTCTGTCAAATAAATAAATAAAATCTTAAAAAAAAAAAGAAATAGAAGTGAACATTACATTTAAGCAGTTGGAAGCATTCCTGGTTTCTTATCAGCCTGTGGCAGCAGGGGCACTCCCTCAGAGCAAACCTCCTGTTCTGGTCCTCCCACTACCAACAATTTACAGCCTACTGCATCACAGGCACGGTGTACGGGGTTGACATGCTTTTTGGAGACCCTAGAAACATTTTTTTTTTTTTTTTTTAGTCATGAGGAAACTTTTAATTCAAAATTGCCAAAGATACTGAAAAATCTAGATGCAGATACATCATTAAAATAATTTGAAAGCAATTTCTAGATTTTCTTCCTTCCTTCGAGTTCTCAATTAGAGATGCCCCCCAAATCGCACAGCCAGCAGGATTTAAGCGACCTCTCTATAGTCAAATAGATCCCGAAGTAAAATGATAAATATTCCTTCTGACTCAGTTTCCGGCGAAAATAGAAAAAAAGACACTGAGCGTCCAGTGGGGATGAATGACCGTGTTTGGTCTGCTAGGAGGTCCCCAATATGAGCGTCTGCCCGGGGCCTCCCGGGGCCGACTCCACCGGCTCGGCAAGGGCCTCGCACTCGGGGCTGTCCACGCTTTCCAGGCGGGCGACGCCGTTATCGGAGCCACGGGAGCCAGGTCCTTCCCGGCCTTTGACCTGCTTTGGCGGAGCGCCAGTTCCGCGGGAGACCTGCTGGCCTGCAGGCCGCGCCGGGCCACGAAGATCCCCTCCTGCCGGGAGCAACTGCACCGAGACTGTGGCCGGCCACCCCGTATTCTTCAAAGAGCAAGAACCCGCTCCTGCCGCCCCAGCGGGGTCGCGTCCCCAAGCGGCAGAGCACTGGACCTGGCAGCCCGACTCCGGCCTCCACTTCCCGGGGCCGTGGCCCCACCGCCCCTCTCCAGTAGACCACGCCCCTCGGCGGCTCCCGTTAGCAAGGTGCCGCGGCGCGCTCCTCTGACGCGAAGCGCCTTTCTCTGACGTCAGGTCCCGCCCCGGCCCCGCCTCGCGCCCGCCCTCCGCAGCCTGAGCGGCTTCGCTTGAGGCGGCGGCTGGGGAGGCAGCTGAGGCGGCTGAGGCGGCCGAGGCGGCGGCGGTGACGGGGGCTGCTGTCGTCGACCCTGCGGACGGCGGTCCGCTGTCTGTCTGCTTCCGTCCCGGAGCGGCGGGCGATGGTGCGGCGGAGCGCGCGGACGCGGGCGGCGCGGCGGCGGGCATGAGGGAGGATGGAAGGGCAGGACGAGGTGTCGGCGCGGGAGCAGCACTTCCACAGCCAAGTGCGGGAGTCCACGGTGAGCCGGCCCGCGCCCCGTCCCCCGCGCCCCCACGTCCCCCTGCGGCCGAGCTGCCAGCCGCCCCCCGTGTCCCGCGCCTCCGCCCTCCTCGAGCCCTGCGCCTCCCGGCCCGTCGCCCCCATCTCCCGGGGCCGGCCGCGCCCTCGGCCACGCCCCCCGCCCCTCTCCCCCCTCCGCCCCGCGCCCCCAGCCTTCTGTTCCCGGTGTCCCCCGACCTCCTGCCCCGCGACCCCCGCCCTCCGCGCCCGGTGTCCCCCCCCCCCCCCCCCCTTGCCCCCCCCCCCCCCGCCCCCCCCCCCCCCTCCCCCCCGCTCCCCCGCCCCCTCGCGGAAGCTCCGGTGGGCGCAACACCCGCGCGGGCCGCTGGGCGCTCTTCTCGTCGCGGGGGACGGACGCCGGCCCGGCGGACCCGCGAGCGTGCGGTGCCCAGTGGCGGGCCCGGGAGCCGAGCGTGCGCAGCCCGCGCTCCGGCCCCGCTGGCGTTGGCTCAGAACCCGAGGGTTGGGCCGCGCCCGCCGTGCTCGGGGGCCGCTCCCGGGAGCCGTCGCGCCGGGGTTGCCTGTTCCGACCCGCGCTCGGTCTCGGGCACCCGTGTGTGCGCCTTCCGTCCCGCAGCGCCGCGCGCTGTGCGCGTGTCCGTGTCCCCGTGGCCGCGCGGGGACCGTGTTACGTGCGTGCGTGCGCGTGTACTCGTCCCCTCTTCGGACCGGCGGCTCCCGCGTTCGGCCGCAGCGCCGGGAGCCGGGGAAGTTCTGCTGCGGAGTCTGTGTGGCTCTTGGTCTCGGGGACTGAACCGCCTTGCCGGGCCCTGGCTTGGAGCCGAGCGCATTCCGCGAGCCACGGCCGTGCGACGGCGGCGCGGGGGCTCGGGCTTGGGGCCTGGGGCGCGCGTGCGCGCCTCTCGCGGGCCGGTGACCGGTTCCGAGCGCTCTGCCCCCGGCGCTGCCGCGGCTCCGTGCGCCCCTTCGCCGGTCGGCGCGTGCCGTGCTCTTGATTCAGCCGCCGCAGGAAGCGCGTCCTCGTCCTCTTGTTTTCGGACTTTGTTTTGCACAACAAATTGTATATGCGCTTCCCTGATGACGAGCGAATTTGGGTACCTTTTCCTATATTTATGGTCATTTGGAACGCGCTCGTGAAGCGTCTTCAAGTCTTTCCCCATTTCAGATTAGTCCTGTAGCCCCTTAAATACGGATTTGCAGGTTTTCTCTATGCTTTCCGAGTATGGTAACTGGGTCAGGAATACGTATTGCAGTTGTTGTTGTTTTTTTTTTTTTTTTCCATTTTTTGGATGCTTTAACATTCAACGACGTGTCTTCTGATGAGAAATCCTTAATTTTCGGAGTTACTTTAACAGAAATTGCTTTATGGTCCGTCCTGGCTCTGTCCTGCTCAAGAAGTCTCCGCCGGCTCCAAAACTGGGAGGACGTTCTCTGTTTTCTCTAAATGCTTTACTGATCTACTCTTCCCATTTCGACCCGCAGTTCATCTGGAATTTGTTTTTTGTGGATGTTTTGACGTAGGAATCTTTCTTTTTTCCCCCACCTGGATGTCCAGTCCCTTTAGCACCATTTACGAGCTTTGTCATGACTTAGGTAACTATAACTGTGGGGGTTAATTTTGTAATCCACGCTGTTCCATTGATCTGTTTGCTCTTTGCCTTAGTTTTTAGTTAATTACATAGTCTGTCATTTGGATTGAGAAGGGGACTTGCGTTGTAGCAGCCACGAGCTTTACTACCGTTGCTGCTCTGGAGACGGCCTAGTGTGGGTGCCCCTTTTAAAGTGCCGTAGTTCTGCCGCTTGTCCGCCCAGCCTTCTCCGACCAGCACCTCTGGGTGGTGGATGCACCCTCTGCAGAAGCTGTGCAGGTGCGAACAAGCCCACGGGGTTTCCAGTCTTCCGCGTTCTTTTCTCAGATTATTCAGAGGGAATATAAATACTTGAGTTTTCTCTAAGACATGTTGCCAATACTTGTACTTAACGATTTTTGGTTTTGCCCTGTAATGCTCTAAGTTTTACCTTTTTCTTCTGACACAATATACATAGCAAGTGATTGACATTTTTAAGTGTACACGTCGTTGGCGTTAAGTGCACTCACATCTTGTGCAGCCGTCCCCACTGCCCAGCTCTAGAACTTTGCTGTCATTCCAAACTGCAACTGCCCCCATGAGTCATTGACTTGCCATTCCTTTCTCCTCCCAGCGCTTGGGAACCACCGGTGCACTTTTGTCTCTCTGCGTCTGACTAATGCAGGGATCTCACAGAGGTGGGACCCCCCAGTATTCTCCTTTGGCGTCTGGCTTATCGCACTCAGCATAAGGCTTTCAGGTTTCAGGCATCTTGTAGCACCCGTCGGAATTTTTTTCCTTTTTAACATTAGATGACATTCACTCGTATTGACACGCGACGTTTTGTTTATCTGTTCACTCATCGCGGGACGTTTGGGTCGTTTCCTGGCCTTTGTAAATAGTGCTGCTATGAACATGGGTGTGCAAATACCTCTTCAAGACCTGGCTTTCAGTTCTTTTACGTATATGCATACCCAGAGGTGGAATTGGTGGGACCATATAAAAAAAATTCTATATTTAATTTTTTGGGGAACTGCCATGCTGTTTTCTGTAGTGGCTGTGCTTTTCACAGTCCCACCAGCAGTGCTCCAGGATTCCAGCTTCTCCACCAACACGTGTTTTCTATTGTTTTAAAATACAGTAGTGGCGCACCTGGGTGGCTCAGTGGGTTAAAGCCTCTGCCTTCGGCTCAGGTCATGATCCCAGGGCCCTGGGATCGAGCCCTGCATCAGACTCTCTGTTCGGCAGGGAGCCTGCTTCCTCCTCTCTCTCTCTGCCTGCCTCTCTGCCTACTTGTAATCTCTGTCTGTAAAATAAAATAAATAAAATCTTTAAAAAAAATACAATAGTTATTCTAATGGGTGTGCAGTGGATCTCATCGTGGCTTTTATTTGCATTTCCCTGATGATTAGTGATATTGAGCACTATTTTATGTGCTTCCTGGCCATTTAAATTTGTATATCTTCTTTGGAGAAATATCTGTTTGAGTCCTTTGCCTGTTTTGAATTGGGTGGTTTTGTTGTTGACTTTCAGGAGTTCTCTTTATATTCTGGATATTAATCCCTTATCAAATGTCAGATTTGCAAATATTTTCTCCCATTCTGTGTGTTGCCTTTTTACTCTATTGATAAAGTTCTTTGATGGACAAAAGTTGTTAATTTTAATGAAGTTCATTTTATGCATTTTTTTCTTTTTTTGCCTGTGCTTTTAGTGTTATATTCAAGAGATCATCACCATGGGGCACCTGGGTGGCTCAGTCGGTTAAGTGACTGCCTTTGGCTCTGGTCATGATCCCGGAGTTCTGGGATCGAGCCCCACATCAGGCTCCCTGCTTGACGGGGAGTCTGCTTCTCCCTCTCCCTCTGCCTGCTGCTCTGCCTACTTGTACTTCTCCATCTGTTAAATAAATTAAAAAAAAAAAAAAAAGATCATCACCAAATTCAGTTTCATGAAGATGTCTTCCTATGTTTTCTTCTTAGAGTTTTAGAGTTTTAACTCTTACATTTGGGGTCTTTGATCCATTTGGGGTTAATTTTTGTGTATTCTGTGGTGTTTAACTTATAAATATTCATGTAATAATTGTTTTGTCTTAAGTATTATGAATATTTCTGAATTCTCTTGTCAATTATTTCAGTGATTATGTAGCTAAAATCTGTTAACCAGGTGGTGATAATCTTTTTTCTTTCCTTTTGCTGGCTTTTTTTCCTTTTTCTTTTGAACTTAAGATTCACAGAATTGGATTAATTATAATCCTGGGTTCATACACAAATTTTTCATTGTTTCATGTGTGACCTGCTTTTGATTAACCTATTTCTTTTTATTTGTTAAAGATTTTATTTATTTACCTGACTGACGGAGATCACAAGTAGGCAGAGAGGCAGGCAGAGAGAGAGGAGGAAGCAGGCTCCCCGCCGAGCAGAGAGCCTGACGCGGGGCTCGATCCCAGGACCCCGGGATCACGACCCGAGCCGAAGGCAGAGGCCCCAACCCACTGAGCCACCCAGGCGCCCCTGATTAACCTATTTTTAAATAGTATGTATCCCACCAGCTATTACCCAGGATACCAAAACATTGACTCGAGCTTATTAAATACCCAGCAGGAGAGGTGAAATGTGGACTGTAATTTATATGTTCTTGTCCTTTATACCTGCTGTAGCTGCACAGGACCACTTGTCTTTTGGTCCATCTATTCTTTTTTTTTTTTTTTTTTTTAAGTAGGCTCCACACCTAGCATGGAGCCCAACAGGGGGCTTGAGCTCAGAACCCTGAGATCAAAGCCAGAGTTGAGATCAAGAGCTGGTTGCTTAATTGACTGAGCCACCCAGGCACCCCTGTACTCTATTCTTTGAGTGCATTTACTTAGATGGTATCTTCCAAGTGGTTTTCTTAATGTTGATGCCACTTTCACCGATACAGCTATTACTCTAAAATGGTCACAGATCAATACATAACAGTACCCCAAAAAATCCTCACTAGTAATACCTTCACTAAATTAATAATAAATCACGTTTATTGAGTGCTTACCAGGTATCTCATTTGAGTCCCATAACAAGCATATGAAGTAGGTATTTTGCAGCATGTAGCCAAGGTGGCATAGGTAGCATGTGATGGAACGAGAGTTTGAGTCCGGGCAGGCTGATTTCACAGCCTGTACTATATTTATAGTCCTATAAAATTTAAACCTCCACTGTAACAGGGTTATGTGGGATCCAGCTAGGTTGGTTACATAAAATGCTTGTTGTAAGGCTAATGAAAGGACCATGGAGAACCTATGAAGCTAGCTGGCCGGGAATTTTGGGGTCTAGCTGCACAATTTATATATATTTTTTATATTTTTATTTATTTATTTGACAGAGAGAGAGAGATCACAAGTAGGCAGAGAGGCAGGCAGAGAGAGAAAGGAGGAAGCAGGTTCCCCGCTGAGCAGAGA